ACAAAAGGAGACAGTAAAAACCACATAACATCTCGATTGATAACACAAAAGGAGACAGTAAAAACCACATAACATCTCGATTGATAACACAAAAGGAGACAGTAAAAACCACATAACATCTCGAATGATAACACAAAAGGAGACAGTAAAAACTACATAACATCTCGAACGATAACACGAAAGGAGACAGTAAAAGCCACATAACATCTCAAATAATAACAAATAAGGAGACAGTAAAAGCCACATAACATCTTGAATGATAACACAAAAGGAGACAGTAAAAACTACATAACATCTCAAACGATAACACGAAAGGAGACAGTAAAAGCCACATAACATCTCAAATAATAACACAAGAGGAGGCAGTAAAAATTACATAACATCTCGAACGATAACACGAAAGGAGACAGTAAAAGCCACATAACATCTCAGGGAATGAACTGGACAAAGAAGTTTATCTGGAACCGAAAGAGAGTACAGGTGGAAAATGGAAAGTAAGAAAATAGGAGAGAAGGCCAAAACACCTGCCCAGGCAGCAGATGTCTAGAAAAGAAAGGCCCAATCAGGTTAGAGGATAACAAAAGAGGAATAGAAAAGAATGCAGGAAACATCCATGGCATAAATATTGAAATGACAACAACCACAAGCAAGGAGAAAGAGGACTTAAGGGAAAGATGGTACAAGGATCATGTACCGATGGATTAAAATGGAGAAGTGGACAGGGTGTGAAGGACAAAGTTAAGATCCTATATGGCAAAACAAAGGGACATGGAGAATGGCCAAGACGATAGAAATGAAAAAGAGGGAAATAACAGGAGAGGAGAAAGCCTGGAAACAGGAGAATCTGAGGGTGTTTGACAGGGCAGCCCTTTAATTAGAAACACTTGACACAAATAAACCCTGAACAAACAACCAGGTGAAGAACTGGAAAAAGATGAAATACCAAATAACGGGAAGGGCAGAAACAATGGCAAATGAACCATGGCCTGAAGGTTGATGAGCTTTTAAAAGAAGTAAGTAGACATGATTGACTGACAGGGGATGGGAAGGGGCAGGCAGGAGCCAGTCGTCTATGAAAAGGAGAGTTTAAAGACCCAATGAGTAAAAATGAGGAAAAAAAGAGCATACCACTCGACAAAACACACAGAGCCGAAGAAGGACCGAATGGCAGCACCTGGAACTGGAATACACGACACACGTGGACATGACACTGGAGCAGTTGGAATATGAAGATAAGCATCCATTACAATGATTTGGTCATTCAAGTACTGGGGAAAAATAAAACAAAGTGAGACGTAGGACTCCATGAAGAAGCAAGGTGGCTCCAGATAAAAGTTCAACCAGAACAGGTCTACAACGGGTCTCCAATCTCCTGTCTTTAGAGGGACAACAGTTAGACGGCAGAAAAACCCCAAATGAGTGGGTACCTCCCATTCGACAGCCCCTTTGTGTAGTAGGTCTTGAAGTAGGCACGATGACAGGAAGAGATATGATATCAAGGAGGAGGGAAGGAGATCTCGGAAGTGGATAGGGGGGGAGCAGAACAGAAGCCAGAAACTTTCAGATAGAACACTTGGAACTGTCTTTAAGTGTAGCCAAAAAGACACATAAGCTAAACATACTTAGAGAAAGTACTCATTACTAAAGAATAAACAAAACCTAGTGATCTGTAGAATCTACAAAGTACATAAAATAACGAACTTGCAAAACTATGAAATTTGACCTAAAACATAAAACAATAAGCAACACGTAAAGTAAAAAACCATTAAAGAAACTTAGAAGATAAAAGACACATAAATACTGAAATTATAAATCCACCAAAAAACCCAATAAGAAGAAAGACACAAAACTAAAACGTACCCTGAAGAACACAAGAATGATACGGTACCCAGTGAACATTAACAAAATTTGACTCAAATCTAATACCCAATAAGATGCAACTAGTAGTAACAAAAATACTTTACAAACTAACATAAACAGTGAAAGGAAGTATAAATAATGAACAAACACACCCAAAAAATTGACCGAAGTTACAATTACCCAAACATTAACTATAGTGGAAAACCCACCTATATACTGAAATAATAATCAAATTCTAAACAGAAATTTAAACTAAAGTAACTTAGATGGTAAAAGAATTATAAAAATCTAACTTACCAAATACTGAGCAGAGAAGACATGAAAGACCTAAATTACAGCATGATGAAATTAGGTCCATCTACACAAGCTCACATAAATAATGCTTGGAGACGGCTTGAATGGG